GGAAGACAGGCAGGGAATTCTTCTCTTATGCTGGATTTTTAGGAGGTGGGCCAGGGGCGAGTTGTTGATTTTTTTTCCTGGAGAGGAGATCCTCACGATCCGGTAAGGATGGGTGACAAAGTGAGGTCCCTAAGGAGAAGGGCACTGCTTGTGAGAGAGGGAGAGGGAGGAGAGAAAGCTGTAAGGTCAACCTGCTCACCCAGGGGTCGGCAAACTTGAGAGGGAAGAGCCAAGCCTGTCCCTCACAACAATTTAAAGATGTTTGGAGAGCCAGGAATATATATTTGACAAACAGTGAACTCTATTATCTGAATAATATTCTTAAATTTTAAAACATCGTTCTTCAGAGCTACATGCACACACCGAAAGAAGCATATATGGCCCCGAGAGCCTCGGTTTGCCGACCCCTGGACTAGACCAAGTTTCAATGAGGCCATGCCTCAGCAGGGCTGTCTGAGTTGCCTCTACTTCTCTTTTTATCTCCTTTTCATTTGTCCCAGAATCAGACCAAGATCTCCGGTGAGTGCCACCCCTGGACACTCTCCAGTGGTGGTGCAGGCCTTGAAGCTGTCCTTCTCAGGTCCAGAAGCCTGAAGGCAAATGCTCTTGTGCTGCCTGCCCCTCTCAGCCAGCAGCCCAACCTCTTGTTTCTGCCCCTGAGCTCACAAGAGGCTTCCTAGCATGCTCTGGGAGATTGCTGCTGCCCAGCCTGGGGAGGCTCTCAGAGCTTAGTTAATAGCTTTCTTTGGAATGTACCAATTGCTGCACTTCTGATTCTCTTCGGAAAATAATGGAAAATTATAGAAATCATTCCAGAAAACTGCAACAGAAACGCAAAAGTAGCCTTTCTAGTGCGCTGCAGGGTTTGATCCCTCCAAGGTTTAAAAGGCCCCTATAGGAAAGGGGAGTTGAATGGTGCTAATTAGGGGATTTGTAAAGTGGCTTTCTTCTGAGAGCTCCCAGCCCTATTTGCACCCAGTGCTCCACCACAGGCTTGTGGCACTGCCTGACCCTCTCAGTGGACTCTGTGTGCTAGACAAGCCGAGCCTTCAGAAACGCCCCCTCTCAATCCTGACCGGCCAGACCTTCGTGGTGGTGTCCCCAGGTGCACTTCGAAGCTATCACTCCATGGATGTCAAGATTCATCCATATTGTACGTGATGGGGTTCATAGCCCTGGCCCTGTGGGTGTCCCAGACTGTTACTCTTTATGGGAGTAGAGACCTTATCTTTCTCCTCTGTGGGAGCTGGACATCGTCGGGATGGCCTTGCTTTTTCGGAGCTTGCCAGTTTCCTGCCTCTGACAGGGGATAGGCTGATCACTTTTATCACCCTTTCGACAGAGTTCTACCTTACGCATTTTCTGGCTTTCACAGGTCTGACTGGCACAGTCAGCACAATGGGTACCAGCCCAGCACTGTGCTACATTCAAACATAGGACTGCAACCCCTGAGAGTGGCCTTAGCCTTTCTGGGAGGGAACTCCATCCTTTGTTATTTACTCATATCGGGGGCGTCATGATTCCAAGATGAAGTAAATCCCATCAGCGTCTGCGCTTGATAATTGAAGTGCAGCCTTGGATCCCTTAGGGCACATTTGTACATTCCTTTAAAAGTGAAGTTTGAAACCTCTCCCTATTTTTCACCTCTGTCTCTTAGCTCAAGATTGTATGTGAGCGGCAGTTAGCAGCAAGCCGGTGAAATTAGTTGTCCTTTTCGTTCTGTGGAGCTCAATCTTTGCATATGAGCATTTGGGATGCCGAGTCCTGGAAATAGCCCGCTTTCCCCGGACAGAGTTGGGAGTTTCGAAGGAGGCTGCCGGAAACTTCCAATTCTGCTGAACAGAAGCACACGGGGTACAAAAAGCCCAGGCACTTAAATAACTGCCAACCCGTGGGTGACCCCGGAAGAAAAGTCCTGGATGGGCTGTGCATAGGTGGTGCAGGTTCTCTTAGGCGCTTCAGAATCAGGCAGGGCAGCTATTTGCTCCTGGAGATGGAGCAGACTTTCCAGGTGGATAACATTAGTACACAGCTTGCTCGATGCTCCCCTCCTCCCTGGGGTGTCAGTTTGCAAACAACTAATGTTGCTGTTGTGTGAGTCAGTGAGTCCATTTGGAATCATAGACACACGTCAAAACAGAGTCAGACTACCATATAAGGGTGGTCAAGGCATCTTGACAGGAGCAGATGGCCACCTCATTCTTATGCAGAGTGCCTGGTGGGTCTGAACTGCTGACCTTTCAGTTCGCAGCTGGGTACTTAACCGCTGCATCACCAGGGATCTTTCAAGCCAGGAATACGGACTCTTTTTCAAAACAAAAGCAAACACGAGCCCAAATGCCTGGGCGTGGTAAACAGTTAAGGAAGTGACGGCTCTTGGATAGGTTGGAGGTTTGAGTCTACCCCTAGGCACCTCAGAAGACAAACGGGCCATTGTAGTTCGGCAGCCCAGCCCAGACGGGATTGCCCTGAGGAAGAATTGGCCCAGAGGAGCTGGTTCTGTTTGGATAATAAGTATCCAGGTTCTCTAGATGGAAGCCAGACACCTCCCAGCAAGGCAGGGCTGCTCTCCCACCCTCCTCCGGGTTGTTTACTAAAAAGGAGCGGAAGCAAGCCCAGGCGCACCTGCAGGTGGCCAGCACTCTCAGGCTTCTGGTACCTGTTTGATGTGGATGCAAACTCAGTTTAAGAGGGGGCAATTCTGGTCCACACCACCTTCAGCTTATATCCACACTGAGTTAGAGGAGAGAATAATAATAATAAAGTGTAACTTATCAAGGGTTCACGAGGGCCGGGGAGGGAGGAAAAAAAGAGGAGTTGATACCACGGGCTCAAGTAGAAAGAAAATGCTTTGAAAATGATGATGGCAATATATGTACAAATATGCTTAATGCAATGCATGTATGGATTGTGATAAGAACTGTAAGAGCCCCCAATAAAATGATTTATTTTAAAAAAAGGAGAATGAGAGCCAACTACCAACCTTTCAGATAGCAGGCAAGTGTCAGCATTGAACTATGGGTAAGTATACTGTTGTCCTCACTTGACAAAACAAGGCAACGGAGGCTCAGCGGCTGTGCAGGGACCCACAGGTCAGAAGTCAAGCTGGTCGGAAATTCAGAGCTTTCTCTTGCCTGCATTTGGCGCTGTCTCTGAGGATGAAGAATGTCTCTATTACTAAGTCAGACTGGACCCTGTTTGTATGGCCTATTGGGGCTGGAGGTAATCGGTGAATTGATTTGGTTTTGCTTAGGTTTGATTCCAAACCTAATGGCGTATGTAATTGCATAAGTGATTACTACCATTAGTACATGGTACTGCTTGCTGAGATGCCAGGGTGTGTATTTCATGCAGGAAAGTCGGCTGGCAACCATGGCATAAGACAATCCTGCTGGTTTATTAGCCCAGCTGGCACTTAACTAAATGGACCATTTGCCTTTGAAACCGGCGTGCAAATGGAATTGTAGTGATCTCCCTGCTATCCCAGTTCACCTCTTTGTCCTCAGTTTGAGCACTGGCTCTAGTCGTTTCTTTAGCTTCCTGGACATGTCAATAAGCAGGGTCCAGGAAGCATCAACAAAGGGAGACATGCTGCAGTCCTGCGGGGATTGGTTGGTGTCCACCATGACTCCATTTAGGGTCCATTTTAGTTTTTTATAGACTGACCAGGATAAGGTGCCACCAGCTTGCAAAGTACACTGCTGTTCGCCCCCTTCCAGTCAGCTCCAATGCGTGGCACCTCCATGTACAGCACAAAGAAACAAGGCCCTGGTCCAGCGTCATCCTCCCGATGGTTGGGATGTTTGAGTCCCTTGTTTCAACCAGTGAGGATCGTCTTTGCCTTCCAGCCTACGGGGTTCACCTTCCAGCATGATCCTAGACAATGTTCTGTTGTGAGCCGGGAGGTTTTTATGCGCTCACTTTCCGAAATAAATCACCAAGCCTTTCTTCCTGGTCTGCCTTAATCTGGCAGTGTGGCTCAAACCTGCTCCCCCTCCCCCCCTCCCCAAATGGGTGACCCTGCTGGTATTCTAGATACTGGTGGCATGGGCTTTGGCATCATGGAACACACACCATCGAAGTCAGGTGGTCTAAAGTGCACTGTCCCTATTTCTATTCAGATGCGGTGTCCGACTGGTCTCCCATGCATGAAGCGGCGGTCCACGGGCGCCGGCTTTCTTTGGAGAACCTCATCCAACAGGTATCTTTCTGAAATCTGGTCAATTGGAAGTGTGCCCCACACCGAGAAAGGAGAGATCATGGTCTTGAGCTTAAGCTGTCCATTTCCTCTTCTGGAAAATGTGGATTTCCTGTCCTTTTCACATGTCACAAAGTCATCATCATCTCCTTTTTTAACCTCTTAAAACTAGAAAAGCCTTTCTTAGGAGCTTATCATCCTTAAGGAGCCCTGATGGTGCAGTGGTTAGGCTGCAAGCTGAAAGTTCAGTGCTGGAAGCCAACAGCTACTCCATGGGAGAAAGAAGTGGCAGTCCGCTCCCATAATGACAACAGCCTTGGATCACTCTATTCGTCAGTTCTACTCTAGCCTATAGGCACGCTCTGAGGAGAGATGGGTTTGGAATTCTTTTCTTTTCTTTTTTTCCCTTAAATTTTCAACACCCTGTATTGGCAGAGTTTGAGCCAGTGAATGTGACTAAGGAGAATGATGGCTGAAAGCTAGCCCCAAGACACCACTCCTTGGAGAGTCTTACTCTGCCCCTTCCTTCCTCCAGGGCTGGCCTGTCAACCTCTTCACCACGGAAGGTGCGTCCCCTCTGCATGAAGCCTGTCTCGGAGGCCATACTTCATGCGTCAACATCTTACTGGATCATGGTGCTCAGGTAGGTGAGGCTCGGAGAAGCCAAGAATAAAAACCGGTCATTTTGATGTCTTCTGATTAATTTCCAGAACTTCTGGTTAGCCTGATTAGAAAAGGGGCAGTGTTTTGAGAGTATTAAACCCATCGAACTTCTTTGCTTTTGTGATAGAGGAAATACTGAAATTTTAGCTAGAAAGGAAGACTTAAGAGAAAATTATGACAGGTAGACGTTCCTTTACAGGCCCAAACAAACAAACAAATAAACCAGTTGCCATGGAGTCTGACTCAGGGCGACCTCATGGTGTGTTTCTTAGGGCCTTCAAGGCCCTGACCTTTTGGGAATGTCATTGCCAGGCCTTTCTTCTGAGAGGTTTCTGGGGAGGTTCAAACTGCTAACTTTTAATTTAGTAGCCTAATATTTAACCATTTGTGCCAGCCAGGGACATGAAAGACACCATTTTAATGGGCAGGGGGCAAGTTTTGGTGGAGGGTGCCTTGAACTGGCAGCCTTTCAGTCAATAGTAGTTGAGTGCTTAACCATTTGACATCACTGCTATTTCCGTGACTGGTAAGAGTGCGCCTGCCTTCATCCCTGAGTCCAGGAAGTGAGAGTCAGTAGAAAACATCAAATCTGACTTTGTAAAACTGGATTAATGATCCCAGCCTGGCTCTAATTAAACTTACTAACACTGTCAACTTGGACACGTTACTGAGTCTCCAAGATTCCGAGTCCAGAACCAAACTCAACCCTACCCACAGCCACCCAGTGGGTTCTGATTCATAGTGACACTGTAGGACAGACAAGATACAACTGCATGTGTGAGTTTCTGAGACTTTAAACTGTTTATGGAAGTAGACAGCCCCATCTTTCCCACAAGCTGGTGGCTTTGAACTGCTGACCTTGTAGATTGTAGCCCAAGGTGTAACCACTACGCCACCAGGGCTCCTCCAGAGGCATGCAAACTAGGCTAAGAAGAAACTGTGGTCATTTGGGAAAAGTACCACAATGAGGGGGAAGTATCAACACTAAGAGGGTGGCCAGGCGCGTGTGTCTTGGAGGTTGGGGAATGTTAGGGGTACAGAGAACGCAAAGGCCTGGAAGTCAAAGGGAGTGAAGTTTTGTGACATCGAGCAGTTCCTTGTGGCAGGAGGGTAGGAGTGGGCGGTAGGGGTGGGGCCAGAATGTGAACAATCCTGCAGTCTGGACCAAAAATAATGCTCTTTTGTCCTGAGACCAGGAAAGAGCCACAGGTGAGTAGGTAATAGATGTAGATTTTTGCTAAGGACATTTATCCAAAACAGAAACAGGGTCAGGACTAACGTGAGGCTAGAGAGGCAACTTAGGTACATACTTTAAGTATGGCATTTACAAGACCTTTAAACTTACTGACATGATCCTTAAACATTGCATCCTGGGTACTTTTCCAGCCTCACTCGGATCCCGGACCTGCTTGGAAATAGTGCATGAGCTTTGGCTTCATGTCTGAAGAAAGCATGTTCATCTGACTTTCTCATTTCTATTCCATTAGAACCCAGACATGGGAAGTTATACGCTAACTTGTAGATCTAGGAAGGATTAGACAAGAGGTATAGTTTTGTGGCCCTATTTTCACCAGCTTTGTGATCTGTGAGTAAACGTATTTGAGGTGCGGTTCGATGGTTGGCCAGTCCCCTAAAACTTCCTTTGAACCACGCTCATCATCTGCCTGGCACCCCCGTTCATGAATCCTGGGCATGTGTTCACTCTTTTTGTATGAAAGGCAGATTGGACTTTTTCAGATTGGACTTGAATATTTTTAGAAATATATAGGGGCTACTGGGCAAACCACTGAGATGTAGGTGGGAAGGTTTCAAGGGAGGAGATGGGGCAGGAGGCTCCTGCAGACCTGCTAGCTCATTTGGCAGTTGTCGTTCCTGGAAAGAGCACAGGGGGATAGAACAGTCTGCTGCTCTCTTGTGCTTTCCGTGTGGGCTACCTCATTCCAATTTTTTCACAACATCCTTGTGAAATAAAAATATTTTTCTCTTCATTTTGTAGCTGTGGGATTGAAGGCTCAGAGGGGTTTATGTGACAGCTCAAAAGTCCTGGAGCCTAAATTTGAACCCCTGACATCACACTGCTTGCCTTCATTTTGGAACTTTCCCTTCCAGGTGAATGGCCTGACAGCAGATTGGCACACCCCCTTGTATAATGCGTGTGTCAACGGCAGCCCCGAATGTGTCAATGTGCTGCTGCAGCATGGGGCCATCCCCGAAGCGCCATGTGGTCTGGCATCCCCCATCCATGAAGTTGCTAAGAGAGGTAAATCTGAGGACCGATGTTTGAAATACAAATGTATTTGTATTTCCATTTGAAGTGAAGGGAATGGCTTTGGGTTCTCTGGGTCCATTGCTGGTAAGTTTAAACTCACAAACTGAGGGAAGTAGCATTTCCAGAACTTGTGCTATAACTGTTCTCTCTCACTTGGGGCTGCAGGCCACGTGGAGTGTCTGGAGGCTCTTCTAGCATATGGAGGCAACATGGATTGTAGTGTCTCGCACCTGGGTTCCCCACTCTATTTGGCCTGTGAAAATCTGCAGATTGCCTGTGCCAAGAAGCTTCTGGAATCAGGTAAAACAAAAAACAAAACAAGGAAAGCCAATGGAAAGGAAAGGACTGGTACATCAATGATCTCTCTGTTGTGGCAAAGGAAAGAGGAAGGGCAATGGGGTCATGGGATTGGACGGTCTTCCATGGGGAATTATTTTAAACAATTTGAGCTTCAGTTTCCGCATTTGTAACAAGAGGATAATGATGATGATGGTGATCGTGATAATGCTATCTCCCTCTCACATTGGTCCTCACTAAGTGTTAGTTCCTTCCCCCTGCCTTGCTCCCTACTGCAGAATATACTCGTATTTTTAGGCTTCGAACAACGGCAACAGGCAAAGCCACTGAATTGGGGCAGAGTCTTCCTATTCGGAGCCTTCTCTTTGATTTGGAAGTTACACTTGCCCTGTTTTTAGCCTAATGGAAACATTCTTAAGTTCTTTAAAATGGTCTACTTACCATTGTTTCTTTTCACTGCCCTGCTGTTTCGCAGACACCCCCCCTTTGTTTACCTCTTTAGACATCTGAGTCCTATTCATTCTTTGAGACTGCAGTAATCTCTCTTTTACTTGAGCTCCTATTGCCTTCTATTCATTTTGACAGCCTTTTCTATGAATTAAACTATCCTGTCCCTCCCTCCTTTCATCTCCCCTCCCTCCCTCCCTCTCTCTCTTCCCTTCTCTTCTTGTCTCTCTCCTCTCTGTCTACATATATGTCTATGTCATATCCCCCTAGCTAAGGGTTAAGCCCTTAGCCAAGCAAGGGACAGGTCTGGCATTGCCCCCAAAACCCAACACAATGAAAGTAGAATTCGTTTTGTGTTTGGTGCCTGGATGCAGGTTCCTATTTTGCTAGAAGGATAATAGCTCAGGTAAAGCCACATGATCGCACTCATCACAGTGACAATGACAGCCTGCGTGGGGATTTGCCGAGAAGGGGAGGATGGAACTGCACACCCACTTTATTTTTGAGGAGATCCTGGAACCTACCCTGGGACTTGGGGGTTGGCTACTTCCGTGTAGAAGATGCTCCCAGGGGTGGCTGCTAGTTCCGAGATTCAGCTGCCTGGTGTAGACCAGCTTTCACCAGCTAGCCTCACTGATAGCCATGCAGGTTAAGGCTTCAGTCCCACGAATAATGCACGTGCAGCCTTTTGACTGCCTGGATTTTTCCTGTAGCCATCACGTCTAAAGCGTCTAGCTGTCAAAGGCAAGTTTTTAGTTCCACCTGCTATATTTAGTTACTTGGTAAAATGGCATTGCTCCATAAGATTAAAGGGAGTCAAGCCAACTCTGGTTTTCTTCAGCAAACTGCCTTACTCTCTAGGGATCCCTTTCCGTGGGAGAATGATGAGGCTTGGTGTTTTGAGATGGTGAACGGTTTGGCTTGACCCTCTTTTGTTTTCATCCTGACTTCTTAGGAGCCGACGTGACCCTGGGGAAAGGGCTGGAGTCTCCCCTTCATGCAGTGGCCAGACAGGGCAACAAGGAACTGGCCAGCCTGCTCTTGGATTTTGGCGCTAACCCTTACACCAGGAATGCTGATAACAAACGCCCTGTGGAGTTGGTGGCACCAAACAATGCTCTGATCCAGTTTCTCTTGGAGCAAGAAGGTGCTTCTCTCTTGACTGAACCTAAACCCTAATCTTTAGAGACCCCCGTGGACTCTAGTAGGAGACAGAGTACCTGAGAGTTCTAACTGGTGGTCATTCATTCTCTGTCCTCACCCAATGTGTGAAAGTTTCGGTCACTTCGTATCCAACAAATATGTAGTTGAAAAAATGAATCGATGAATGCTCACTGTCACTGAATGGTCCAATGTATGTTAGGCTAAGCCTGTGCACTGTAGGGTTTTCAATGGCTGTAATCTCATGGAAGTAAATCTCATTGAGTACATTCTAATTTGGTTAGGAGCCCTGATGGCATAGTCATTGAACACTCAGCTGCCAGCTTAGAGGTTGCTGTTTGGAAGCCACCAGTTGTAACCTAGGAGAATAGACGAGGCCAACTGCTTTCATAAAGACCCCTGTGGGGTCTGTCCTATCAGATCACTGTGAGTCAGAATCACTGCACAGCAATGGGTTTTGATTTCGTTCTGTTTAGCGAAGCACAAACCATTTGCTCAGCCAAGAGCATTACATAAGATATACTACCATAGTAAATAACCATCCAGTTGTTTGGCAGGTTGGAGATGGGCTGCTGTAGATGGTCTGATAGTCATGTGGAGGCTATGACAATTTTCAAAGAATTAAGATCTTGTTTTAAAAGGTGACTATTTTTTTAAAAAGGTGAATCAAACTTGTCCAAAACTAACTTTAAGTTATAACTAATTAAAGGTGCTGGGTATCACTTTTATGAGCCACACCAATCTGAAGATACTTACTCTTATAAATTAGTAAGTGGGCTGTGTGGACTTGATTAACATATGCCTTCAGTGCACCAAGAATATTACTGAGCATGTGCTAAATACCAACAGGTCTTCCTGAATGTGCCTTTAGGGGCCAAATTAAAATAGTGCACTTTTTTAGTAGTCTGTGTGTCTAGTTCTACCTCTCCTTGTTCTCCACCACCTGGAAAATATGTAACCTGGTGTACTCTGTAGGTTCCCTGATGGTATAGTCCATTATGCTTTAGCTGCTAAGCATTGGGATTTTAACCACAAGGCCAGCAGTTCAAAACCACCAACTGCTCCATGGAGGAGAGATGAGTCTTTCTACTCCCACAAGGAGTTACAGTTTCGGAAACTCACAGAGGCAGTTTTCCCTGTCATGTAGGATCACTAGCAATCAACTGCAGTGAATTTGGTTTGGACAGTCAGAGAATTCCCATTACAATTGAGTGCAAGGATTGGCAGTGGGCAGTCATTCTCCACTCGTTTCCCAACATTAGCATTATTGGCACATGCGGCCACTTGTGGGTGATCTTGTGCCCTGTGGGATATTTAGCAGCATCGCTGACTTCTACCCACTAGATGCTGATGGAGACATCAACTCCAACCCAGAGGAGGCCTGCCCCGTAGAGGGCACATCACCAGGTCTTTCTCCCCAGGAGCCACTGGTGAATTTGCACCGCCAACTTGTGGGTTAGCAGCCAAGTGCTTCAAGATTGCATTCCCAGGACTCCTTGGGTGCTAATAGCACCCCCTAAACCTTAGTGAGCTGAAAGGGAGGAGCTATTGGCCTTTTAGAATTAGATGGTCTGTTGTGACAGGATTGATAAATGAAAGAGGAGCAGGGCTTTAAAAAACTCTCAAACTCAACTGCCACCCACTCAATTCCAACTCATAGCAACCCTATAGGGCAGGATAGGCCTGCTCCCATGTGTTTCTGTGACCATAACTCTTGACAGGAGTAGAAAGCCTCGTCTCTCAAGGAGTGGCTGGTGGTTTCGAACTGTTGACCTTGTGGTTAGCAGCCTAACTTGTAATCACCATGCCACTGGGTCTCAAAAAGAACATTTCCAGATCTATCTTGATCTAGAATGCTTTCAGGATCATGTAGATACACCTACAAGGAAGACAAGTTAATGTGATTATTATTTCAATCTCCTAGTGTATATAAAAAGAGCCTTGGTGGCTCCTACTAACTACGAGGTCAGCAGTTCGAAACCACTAGCTGCACCACAGGAGAAAGAAGAGGCGTTCTCCTCCAGTAAAGAGTTCCAGTCTCAGAAACGCACAGGGGTAGTTCTACTCTGTCCTCTAGGGGCACTCGCTATGAATCAGACTTGACTCGATGGCAGGGAGTTTGTTTTTGGAGTTCATATAAAAGCTATGCTTACACATTATGGTCCATGAATTGTCCACTAGCACCATGAAACAGTTCGAAATATTGTGAGCGTGACCACAATGGGGCGCAGAGAGCACATGCTGTTGGGGAAAAATGGCGCCAATTGATAAATAACCCAGGTGCTCAATGCAGGGTTGCCACCAACCTCCAATTTGTTGGAAACACAGCATGTGTGAAATGGGAGGCAGTGAAGCCCGAGAAAATCGCTTGTGTCTCTACTTAATTAGTGACTTCTAACACGGTTCTCTCTTGTGAAAAGAAACAACATCAGACAGTGACTCTGAGGTCCATCAAATAAGCTCATGCTTTTGTCATTTTCCTCCAGGACCACCACCTCTGATGCAGTTGTGCCGCCTTCGGATCCGGAAGTGCTTTGGCATCCGAGAGCATTATAAGATCGCTACTCTGGGCCTTCCAGAGGAGCTGAAGCACTTTCTCCTCCACAGTTAAAAGGGTGTCCAAACACCAGGCCAACACCAACTAGTGTTGCGATGCTTGAAGCCTTCAAATAAAGTTGGGTTCATGTAATTTCCAGAGGAGCTGAAGCACTTTTTCCTCCATGTTTAAAAGGGTGGCCAAACCCCAGGCAAACACCAGCGAGTGTTTTGTTCATTGACATTTTCAAATAAAGTTGAGTTCACGCAATTTGGCTGGCTTTTTCAATTCTATCTTTCTTTGAAGTGGAACTCCCCTGACTGCTTTGGCTTTGCCGAGGGGCAAATCCCGAGGGTTCCTTCCCCATCCCCCCACCCACCCCTGACCTGGAAGAGGATGGCTAACAATGCAGCTCTTGCTTTTCATGCCAAGCATGAAACTGTCACAACGACCCTGCCAAGTGGCTGCTGCTCATTCTCAGCCTTTCTCCAGGTTAGACACAGACCAGTCCCCAGAGCCAGGAGAAGGAGCCAGGTTCAATTTCAGGTTCTGATGTGAACCTGGGGTAGTAAATGAGAAGGAACTACGTGCTGATCAGGGGAAAAAAAAAAAAAAAAGATCAGACCATGAGATAGCAGGATCAACCTGAGAGCTATTTATTGGGGCCATTGTTGCCTTGACAGCTGCATTCAGTGAGTGCTCTTGCAACCCAGAGAGCCATCAGAAGAGGGGAAAACCAGTCCCTGTCAAGGCAACTTGAACTCATGACAACTCTATCTGGCCCAGAGTGGAAATGCGCTCCCTAGAGTTTTCAGAACTCGATCGCTAGGCCTTTCTTGCCAGGCGCCTCTGTGGACGAGAACCCCCAACCTTTTGGTTATCAAGTTAATTTTGTTTGCACCACTCAGGGATTTCATCAGAAGGGGGAGGGCCATGCAAAACCCCAGGGAGAAGATGACAAGGCAAGGCAAGGGGATCCGCGTATGCCTCACTTGACATCTTTCGGCTGGGTGGAGGGCCCTGGGTCAGAGAACTCTGAAGGAAGCAACACCTCAGTCTTCTTGCAACAGCAGGCTTGACATCCAGCATCTGGGGCTAATAGGTGTTGGACACAGTTGCACAGGGCATACAGAGCAGGGAGATGCCCAGTTGCTAAAATTCTGCTTATTGGGGGTCTTTTCTGTGTTCATACACATTTTGATCCATTCGTCCTCCTTTCCGATCCCTTCCTGCCACCTGAGCTGTATCCCTGGGTAAACGCTGCCCTTGGGATCTTGTCTGGTTTTATGCCTCCCGCCTCGGTGTCACTGCCCCCGTTCTAGGCCTGTCTATCATTGGTTGAACGTTCAACCATGGGAGTGAGTTTGCTGTCAGTCTCTATCATATCCAGAAGCTTTGTCTTTAATTTTTTTTAATGATAATGAATTTTGTTCCACATTTTCCCCCTAATCCACCCAGAACCTTTATAGGGTTAGAAAGCCTTGTCTTTCTCAGGCACAGTGGCTGGTGGGTTCAAACTGCTGACCTTCAGGTTAGTAGTCTAATATGTAACCACTATGTCACCATGGATAGGGCTACTATATCCAAAATACTACAGTAAGATGGCTTTAACAATTTTCTCACAGTTTAGGAGGCTAGAAGTTTGAATTCAGGGCTTTTGGGTCTTAGAGGAAGGCTTTCTTTCTCTGTTGGGTCTAGAGAAAGGTCCTGGTCTCTTGAGTTCCTATTCCCAGGAGATCTTCATGTGGTTTGGTAGCTCTCTTTCTCATATTTCCTTCTTGCTTGTTTAATATCTTTGTATCTCAGCAAAGATTGACTCAAAATAAAACTTATACTAGGCCTGCCTCATTAACACAATCAAACAACCCATTCCAAAATGGGATTATAATCACAGATACAGCAGTTAGGATTAACAACACATAATTTGGGGGAACATAATCAAATCCATAACATTCCACTTGTTCGCTCCCCTCAAATTCATGTCCTTCCTGCACACAAGGGAAAAAGGCAGGACTTTCTGCTCCTGTAAAGAGCTACAGCCTCAGATATTCACAGATGGAAGTTCTACCTGTCCTGTAGGGTTGCTGTGAGTCCCCAGTGACTCCACTTCAGGGATTTGGTTTTCCTACACACAAAACACATTTAACTATCCCCAACATCAGAAATCAACACCATGTACACAAATCTCATCTTCTGAATCAGATAGGGGTGAGATTTGAGACTTATTCCATCCTGGGGCAAAATTTATCTTCATCTGCAAATTTATGGATTGTAGAACACACGTGATCTGCCTTCAGAGTACACTGGTGGAGCAAGCACGAGGTAGCCATTGTCATTACAAGTGGAGGAAATTTAAAGGCAGGAAGGACTCATGGGCACCAAGCAAATCCCCATCAAGCAAATTCCCAATCCTGCAGAACAAATGACATTAGCTCTCAAGTTTTTACGGTAATCCCTCTGTTCTAAGATGTTAGCATCTAGGCAATGGCCCATGCCTTCTTGACTCTGAGCGTTGGCTATGCTTTCTCAACTCTGAGTGGAGGGTTCTTGGTTCTGGGCTTCAGTTCTGCCTCCCAGGCCCACTGAGACAAAGACTGCTCCTCTAGGCTTGGAGCAACCCTGTTCTCCCAGTCTGTCTGCGTGACCACCCCACCCCCAGTGGCCTCAGCAGGCCCACTCTGTCCCTTATGCATTGCAGCTCTACCCACACACCTATGGGCAACAGGACCAGCCTCATCCCACTGGCACACCTTCATGGTAGTCCCACCCTCCAGAATGGACTTGGTCAAGATCTGACCCTTTGAAACCTAGGAGGCTGTGGTCCTCCCCTTTGAGATCCATAAGCTCTGGCCCCAGCCTTGGACGTCACGAAGGGCCTGCTTCCTGTGCTCCTTCCATTAGTTCTGCTGATTTTCTGGGCGGCTCCAAGGATGGCCTTTTTCCTTTATTGGGAGATAATAGATGTAGCTCCTTGGATCTATTTTCTCCCTGTGGAATTCCAAGAGGGAGGCTATACCACCAGGCCTCTTACTAGACCCCTGAAAACTTTTCCCGCCTCTACCTGTTACCCAACTGGAAAATTGCTTCCACATTGTACATATTTGTTATAGCAGCACTTCACTCCCAATTCCAAATTTTGTCTTAGGCATCGATTGCTACCATAACAGAGATCATGCAAGAACATGGCTTTACCAAGCAGATGTTTGCTTAGTTTAGGAGGCTAACAGTCTGAATGTGGAGCTCTGGCTCTGGGGGAGGGTTTTCTTTCTCTGTTGGCTCTAGGGGGAAGACCCTCGTTTCTTCAACTTGTGTCCTGGTTTCCGAGTGATCTCCATGTTCCTTGGCATCTATCTTACTTTATCTCTGCTTCTTTATTTCCCTTATATTTCAAGAGGGATTAATTTCAGACACACAGTATATCAAATTTTCCTCATTTACATAAAAAGGCGAACTGTTGCATAATAATACTATAACCATAGGCATGGATATTAAGGTGTACAGCACAGATTGGTGGAGGGGGGGGCACACAACTCAATCCATAACATTAAGAATCCCTGCACTATCCAGATCCAGATGTAGCTATTTTTAAAATGCAAGTCCATTAAAATCAGGTAAAATTAAAGCTCTAACTCCTCAGTGTCCTTTGCCGCGTGCCAATAACCACATGTGGCCAATGGCTACTGTATTGTACATTGCAGATATTCTATACCATCATAGAATGTTCTAGTGAGCAGGGTTCTTCAGATGCTCAGTGAATGAATTTTAACTGCTTTTCAGTTTGGCGTTTACACGAGACCTTTCATATCAGTGAGCAGGAAGAGCTGCAGTTTCAGTGTTCTCTCTGAGAAATTAATTTGGAGCCCCATTGAATCAATAGAAAGAAAGAAAATATTGTACATACTTAAGGCAAATCCTTATCAGTAAGCAGACATGGCCTAGCTGATCTCTAAAGATATTTCCAATAAAATTTTCTATGACTAAATCGAATTTGCTGTATTTAAAAAAGTACCTCTAGAATCTTGTCCTAAAATGCTCCACAGGTCCTCCAGAAGATGGCGCTGGTGCCACGTAGTCAGCTGAGCAAAAGGCCTGCTCCTCCCAAAGGGCCAGCGAGATTTACAATCCAGGTTCTGGAAATTTCCATTCAGGGGTGAAAACTTTGTCATGCTAGATTCCATCGACACCAAGTCTCCTTTTCTCTCTCCCAATGCTCCCAATCTTACATATGTGCCTTTCCAGAACCTTAACCTCCCTGCTCCCGTTGGGTGGGTTTTGTTTTGTTTTTTCTTCTTTGTCTTAATGTGATCATGTTTACAACTGCTCAGAGTCTAGATAGCTAATGAATGCCAGCGTCCTGCCACGGGCTAATTCATTGACTGTCAGTAATTCCTTTATTCGGGAAATATTTTGTGAGGGCTGGCTGCGCCTGTGTGAGACACTGTTCTAGGCACCACGTGACAACAGTGGATAGATAGGCAAATGCAGTCTTCCTGGACCTGATGCTTTAGTTGGGGAATCATTTGCTACAGAGAAAAGAGCTGTAGGCATTCCAGTTAGTTTCCTGTTGGAAACACCACTTGTTGTTTTACATAGTATGGATGCCCATGTAAAATGCATCAGGTCAACGCACGTTTATATGAATCTCCCTTTGGCCAAACCTACTGAGTTTAACGCAAGATTATGACAAAATGACTAGAACAATGATTTTCTTCCCAAATGTTCCCAGGCAATTAATCGATTTGCAGATCCTTATAGTAGACGGTATCTCAGAAAGGAAAAAAAACACCATCACTACCTCTCTTGTACTTTTGGAGAATTTAAGTTGGTTCACTCAGCAACACCCAAAGGAGCCCTGGTGCAATGGGCAAGGTCAGCAGTTTGAAACCATCAGCCATGCTGAGGGAGAAAGTGAGGCTTTCTACTCTTGTAATGAGTTAGTCCCAGAAAACCACAGGAGCAGTTCTACTCCCCTGCCCTATAGGGCCGCTATGAGTCAGAATGGCAGTGAATTCATTGAGCAATGAACGGAAAGAAGCTTCTATTTAAAGAGCCTGTAGGGCCACCATGAGGAGAATCTCCCTGATGGCAATGGGTTCATCTGTGTGAGTCTATGATATGTACTCGTTGGTGGTGAGTCCACCTGGACGCATGACAACCCCATGGAGGTCAGGAGGTTTTCACTGGCTGATTTTTCAGAAGTAAATCGATCATCAGGCCTTTCTTCCAAGGCACTGATGGGTGGACTCCAACACTGACTCTTTTGGTTAGTA